CCTGCCCCTCGGGGCAAGGCAATTTGCAATGCACACGGGGAGGGGGGAATGCATCATTCCAGTCTGTAGAGGAATTTAATTTGCAACGAGACAATTCACCCTGATCACCTACCAAAACACAGCACACAATGCTGGCTCATTAACAGCACTCAAGGGTAGCTGAGGGGGCATTTTAAATAATAAAAGAGAGAGACAGACAAAAGCAGTGAGGACCCATAATCCTACCAACAACTCCTTTTGTCCCTTAACCCCAGTAAAATCACTCAAACCTTGTATTGAGGAACAAGCTGAAATCTGACGACAGACAAGCGTTACCAATCAAGGCAGAACCAAAAATTTTTATAATGACCGGCAGAAAATTAAAAATACACATTGATCAGGAAAGGTCATATCAGAGCCATTATAGTCAATGTCAATATAGAAGCAACATCTCTACGGAGAATGAATCTGCTTCTACCAAAGTGCTCTGCCGTCCTGGAGCCGTATGTAATAAAGTCTGTATACGGTATGTTCACAAATAAACCCCATGATCCGCCACAAGACCAACGGTACACCATGATCCGCCACAAGACCAACGGTACCCAGTGTTCTGTCAGAACCAATAGCACCCCATAATCGTTCATAAGACGAACAGTACCCTATAAAATTAGTTAAAAAAAACAACAGCACCCCACTTATCTTAAAGCCAAGGCTACCCCATGATCCGCCGTAAGACAAACCTTAACCGCATAATCTATCAACAGGCCAACAGTAGCCCATGATGTCAGACCAACGGTACCCCATAATCAGTCAAAAAACCAACAGGACCCCATTATCCGTCATAAAACCAATAGTAGCATGTGGTCATAAGACAAATGGTTCATAAAACCCAAAAGGAAAACAGGTTTAAGCGATACCAGATCGCTATGTTGCAGTTTTTTTTTCTGTTGGTTTTGTTGCAGCTGGTCACGTTCATTCACATAAATCCTAGCACAGCCGTCACCAATGTCAATTAAGTGATACCAGGCCTAGTCATTTTTGTGAATATGAAAAAAGGTTAAAAAAACAAAAAACAAAAACACACCACACCAAAAAATGTTTAAATTATATTTTCTTTTTACACACACAATCTCTCCTTCATATTTGCTGTACTCCCATAACTCTCCATCAAGGCAAGAACACACAAACTCGAGAGGAGCAACAAAGCCACGTCTGTCTTGGGGAGAGGAACGGCTCATTCATGCTGTTTGACAAAGTGGGCACACAGCCCCCAATCAATGTCTCCCAGTCACAGCACACTTCTGCCGGATGAAACAGGCTGCACAAATTTAAAGTGAAATCTTCATGCTGGAATACGTCACCCATACACTGGAGGTGGCCATTTTGCGACCTAGGGGCATTTTTTTTTTTTGCAAAAATTTTCCAGAAGAGGCCAAAAAGCATTAAAAAAAAAAATCGATCAACATGCGTCTACTCTTCATCAATAGGTCTGCAGGGCTCCATGATAAATGGACTGTTAAAAGTCAATGACATTCATATACATAACACACTTTAACACCAGATTAGTAGCCTGAAATGTGCCATTATAACTCTATATAGAGGGGGAGCACATTCTGCACCGCGTCTGCAAACAAGGCACACAAAAGCTTTGACAGGACAAATATGAACACGTCTGATACACTTGAGTAGTAAAATTGCATCACAGGATTTTAAACCAACATCCAGCAAACAATTGCATTGTACATAAAACTTTCAGTACATTAAAGTGCTGTAGTTTATAGTAGTTAAGTAGAGACTAAAAGGGGCAGATAAACAGCCAAGGCACGCCGGAGGCCGGGGGATCCGGTGCTACAAAATGCATTCTCTTCACGAGTGCAAGACGAAGGTCAGTGTGACAATGGAGCACTGAAAGCGCACAACTCTAAATTATACGCTGCACTGCAAAGAGAAATACTTTGGTCATTTGTTATAGTCAAAAAGGAGCCGGTCACCGGGGGTCACAAGTTCCAGGCAGAAGAGGATGCTGAAGACGTACCTCTCTGACCGGTGAGGCAAGTCTTCTCTCTGTTGTAGAGCTATGAGCATGGCTGCTATCCGACACTTCCGGTAGGTAGGATAAAATTTGCCCCATTGGGTGCCATGTTTTCACTCACCAGCTGCTACGTCACTATTGTGTCCTGTAGCGGCCAGCAGGTAGAACCTAAGCACCCAGTAGGGGACTCTCTATCCCAACACAACTGGAAGAGTAGCAGCGGTGCTCTCATCTCTGCAAGACTCACCTGTCTGAAGGGAACATCTTCTGTCTGGAATTTGTGATCTCAGTAACCGGCTCATTTTGACAACAGCATATGGCCAAAGTATTTTTTTTTTTGCACTTCATAGCAACATAGTTGCTTTAAAGAGAACCTTAAAAAGGTACAATGCAGAGTGCCCATAAAATATATTATTTTCAAAAATGACCTAAAATATTAGTAGTTACAAAGTAGGAAAAAGAAGAGGGCAGGAGCGCAACAGTCTGGTGCCAGGTGTGTGGATGGGGGGTGATGAGTAAATGAGGATGTGTATATGTGGGGTGGTGAAAGGGGATATTGAGCACTTACATGTGATTGTCGAAAGGAAGGACAACAATGGCAAAGTTGTCTTCCTTCCACATTGGTTTTCGACCAAGGCAACACCTTGTGACGTCCTTCCAGTCCCAAACCGTGACTCCACGACCAAGCCAACAGAAGTGTACCATCACCACACCACACATCACATGTAAGTGCTTAACATCCCCTTTCACCACCCCACATATACACATCCTCATTTACTCATCAATCCCCATTCACACACCTGGCACCAGACTGTTGCGCTCCTGCCCTCTTCTTTTTCCTGTTCAGTCTAAAGGTGCCCACACACCTTGCGATAATCGTACGATAAATCGTGGGAAATCCCCCGATCGTACGATTATCGTAAGGTGTGTGGAAGGCGTGTGACCTCTACTACTGTAAGGTCGCACGACTTATCTTAGGAACATGGTTCGAAAACCCGCAAGTCCATTGCAAGAGTATCTTCTCGCCAAATTTTGGTTGCTTTGTATTGCCCAGGATTTAACCTCGAGGGTGACCTCATCCTTCCATAGGCACCACTGGCCGAAGATGTGGGTGAGAGAAGTATACATCTTATTCTTTACAGGTACATTTTGGAACTACAAAATATAAAAAGGTGATTAGTCAAGGCCCCCCCAACAGTATATGGGACAGGGTATTGTACTGCAAGGTTCCACTGAAGCACATTCAGGTACAGATAACTAAATTGGGATTCATCAATGTTGGGGAGATCAGCAGGATATACAGATATACAGAAGAACAAAAAGCTACCAGCAAAAATCGGATTTAAACTGGACCGCTGCTGCTCACAGTAACCAATTGGGTGTCTCCTTGCATCCTGTGACCTGCAGCGGTTGAAAGTCACCGCTAGAGTCAAAAGCCCCACTTTGTTGGGTCAGCCTTTTAAAAGAAAAACAAGCCCAATGTCTCAGATTGTCGGGTAGAAAAATTAACCTTCTAGTCCAGCACTGGAGGAGGCCTTGCTCCCATGAGCAGTGCTAGAGATGCAGCTGTCCAAGGAGAGGTGGAAGCGAGGCGCTGGACACAAGTCTCAACAAACAAGATGATTACTGCTTTGTGGAGAGCTGCCAAACCCAAGCCATCTAGCTTAAAGATCACCCTACTACGATGCAGGGGTCACCCAAATCTGAAAAGTCTGTGTACATTAGAGCCAAAATGAGCGTCAATATCACAGTTTGAGTCCAAAAGTAATCTAACGGTTCCATAAGTCATAACCATGAAAAAGCCAAGTCATCCCAACATGTTTCAGGGGCCAGACGATCTCATCCATCAGGGCTGACATAATTTTCAAAGTGTTTAATGGATTCAAGATAAATATCCTGGATGTAGAAGCCAGTCAGAGCCAGGAGAATCATCATACTGCTCTGCCGCTGATTACGTCTCCCACTCACTGATGATTCTCCTGGCTCTGGCCAATTTGACATTTCAGATCTTCATCTTGAGTCCATTAAACACTGATAGCTGGGAAAGCCTCCACGAAGAGGAATTGCCTGGCCCCCGAAACAGGTTTGGTTGCTTTTGCCTTTTCATGTTTATGACATACAGAACCAATGAATTACTTTTGGACCCTAGGAACGCAATCAAGATGCTCACATTGGCCTAAATTTAACAGATATGCAGCAGTACAACTTCGGACACTTGCACCAAAATGCTGAGCGACATTGCCGTCCGCGAAACTGACATCAGTTCTCAGGATATATACCCGAAACAAGCATTACTTCCAGGCTTTAGACAACACTCCCCTCCAGCACTGCAAGGAAGCCTTGGCTAAAAGGGCAACATCAACCATAACAGGTCCTCACGCTGGTGCTGGCCATAATGATCAAATAGAAGACATATTAGGATCAAGTATAGCTAGAAGTTGCAACCAGCATTCATTTTAAAGGGAAATCTCCCTTCCTGCTCCGGGCTCCAGCATTATGCGTGGGAGGACCCACAATGGACGCTTTGATGAACAGGTCCATTGAACCAATCTGTGGGTCAGATACATCATTCTAAATGGTATGGTGGAAAAAGTTCATTCCTGGGATCCTTAGACAACGGCAAGTGTAAAATGTCCGTCTGTGCCTAAAGCGCGAGATAAGACTCCTACACATGTCCAGCTGAATATATAAGATGACGCAACCTGCACAATAAAAGCCAAGCAATGTAAAAAACGGCTCAAGAAAGAAGCCAAAGAAAACAGAGCTTTCTCCATAAGGTATTTTATTATTTAACCTGCGCTAGAGAACTGACAGCTGAAGAGTGATCGCTAATATGCCCATGCCAGACTGCTTTCCTCCAGCTGTTATTATTCAAATGCATTTCAGAGCCAAATATTAAGGCAACAGCCATGCTGGTATTGTTACATGGATCAATACAGATGCATACAATAAAGACTCCAAGTGTCATGTGACTCAGGCTTGTTCTTACCGTGCGGGCACTGGGCGAGAGGGCACCATTGGGCAAGTAGTGGCCTCCGAGGTCAGGGATCATCAAGAAGGGGTATCCCGCATAGGGAGGGCTTTTGAAGAAAGCTGCATCTTGCTGCCTCCTAAATGCTGCAAGAGGGAAAAAAAACATTTGGAAAAACACAAGTAAATATCTTCCATCAACTCAATCATCATCACATGATGCAACTCTGTACATCAAAATCATTACAGTGCATCTAAACCAAAATCAACATGAAAACCAAATAGGTTGCTGCATATGTTCCTGTAATGTCACAAAAGGTAACTCCTTTTTTGTATGTCCTGCTCTTAAGGAATGCAAGCAAGATTTATCCACAGGCACTTTCTTTCCTAGAGTGACAACGCTTAGTTCAGCTGCAGCGGTGCCACTCTTTCCTGCACACATCTGTGTTGGACTACAACTAGCTGTAATGAAGTATAATGTGCTGGCAGATTCTCCTGTAGTCACCACAGTAAAAAAAAACAGACATTCGGCCAACTATTGGGTTGCACCCATGTCCACAAGAAGTTCATACATCTAGCCTACAGGATGTGCACAGAACAGGGAGAGAACACATGGGGGGGAAAAAAAAGAAAGGAAAGCAGTTCTGACTTGCATACAACCCTCAATAAAACCAAGTATTCTTTTATGATGGTTTCGTTCTACTTTAAAGTTGAACTCGGGGGGGGACCAAAGTTCCCCTTGTAGTGGTGCTGCCCCTGCCTGCCGTACAAGGGTTAAATGCTCATCCAGGTCTAGGGTACCTGGAAAAAAATACTTACCTGATCCCCGATCCCTCAGGTTCTGTAAGGGCTACCTGCATCCTCTCCTCCCACCCATACACTTCAGCGGGCGGTCAGGAGGCCTGTTGACATGGTGTACAATGTAGGGCACATAGACCTGCATTATATGCGAGGACACCGAGAGAGTCGACAAACCGGAGAGTAGGGGAGATGAGGAGAGCACCATCTGCCTGGAGAGCGGGGATAAGATAACTGCTTTTCTCAATACCCTAGACCAGGACTGGAGCAATCCCAGGAGCAAGGTAGCCAATGCTCCATAAATATACATAGCTCTGCCCAACTTTTTAGGTTTTCACTAGTGGTCAATGAAGCTGGCTCCTAAAAACAATCCTCCTGACTTCTGGATTGGACAGACTGGCTCCTGAATGCCTTATGACTTGGTCCACCCCTGCCCTAGACCTAAACAAGCATTTTACCCTTGCAGTGCAGGGGGTAGCCCCACTGCAAGGGGAGTTTTATGGTTTCTCTGGAGATAGGCTTTAAGGAGAAGACATTCCATCTCTGGAGCCTGTAGGTACACTATGCAATGAGGAGGCTTCCTGAATAGCTACTGGCCACCCATAGAGGAGGACTATATTTTAAATGTTGACCGAAAAATAATCTTGTATACACATAGTCACAATATTCTAACCCATGGTAGGGTCAGTAAAACAAGAACATGTTCTTTACAGAAGGGAGCCTAACATAGGAGGACACTTTGGGTATTGTGTACCTACAGGCTCCAGAGATAGAAATCCAACCCAGCATATTGGGCAGTGGCTGGGAAATGGACAAATAGGTGGTATTGGTTATATGGTGATGGAAAAAGCAGATCTGAAGATGGACAAGCACACGTGAAGCAATGGCTTCTAAAGAACAGGTTTAATATATTTAAAGTGGAGGTTCACCCTAGAATTACTCAATAAATAAACATCCATACAACACAGGGGGAGAACAAATTCTATGAATTTTATGAGCCAGCAGGATTATTTACAGTTAGGAGCCTTCTACATTGACTACTAGACAAAACCTCAACAGTTGTGTCAGCTGTAATTTTTAAAGAGAATTGGCTACCTGGCTCCATTGATTTGTTCAGCCTTGATATAATATGTACCATCAAAAATGCAAAGGACCATGTGGACGTCTGTCTGCGCTCCAGGTGTCCAGCAATCAGCATTGGAAACTACCGGACATTTACCAGTGACACCACAAAACTCATGGAGTCACTTGAATTCCCCTGTGCACTATTACATCTTTGAAGGCATCAGGGTGGAGGAAGCGTTTCCCAGTCAGGCTTCACAAATCACAGGACATAGATAACATGGGCTGAGTGACACCGTGATTTGAATGGTGTTGCCTGGTAAACGACCAGCAGTTTCCAATACGGATCCCTAGACAACCGAAGCGCAAACCAAAGTTAGACGTGGTGCTATGCTTTTACCAATGTACATGTGTTATGTGGCTGTTTAATGTTTGAGGATATCTAGGATGAACTACTTTAAAGTAAGGCATTAAAAAAAAGGATTTGTTCATTTCCCAGGAATAGAGCGTGGGCTCTTCTGACCGGGAAGTCTTCATACCATGACAGGTCACAGCTCAACGTCCATAAAGAAGGTCAAGCCTGAGCGTGCCCGTATCACACGCTAAAGAAACCATCCAGCTGATGATCCTTTCCCACCGAGACAACTCATAAAGTCATTCACTCCAGAGCGGCCTCATCCCCAATGAAAACACGGCTCCCGGTTCAAAAGGCCCCACTAGAAGCAGACACATGCCAAAGCACTGACTCACCCTACGCTGCGTTACACCCTCCTGAAACATGTAGGTTACATCGATCTTACCATAAAACGAGATATGGAAGACGCGCATATAGGCTTACAGATTAAGTAGTATTAAGGCTAATCAGTTAAAAGTCAACAATATTGCATTGTTTTGCTGAACGGTGGAAAAAAAAATAAAAAAAAGACTCGGCTGTTTCTGAAGTGACCACAATAGTCCCACCTACCATGGTCGTTCGCTAAAGATCGCTGGCACTGTGTGCATGGGTCAGGAACATGGCTACTCCCACAAAAGCAAAACATAAGGCCTCCAGAAAGCTCAGGCTTGGTTGCATTAAAATGGAGAGGTTCATCTAGGGGTGGACAAATGAATTTGGAATTCAGGAGCCAGTCTGCCCAATCCAGGAGCCAGACTGTCCAATCCAGGAGCCGGCTCCATTGAGAACTAGAGAAAACCTCAAAAGTTGGGCACAGCTGTGCCATTGGCGACCTGGCTCCTGGGATCAGTCCAGCCTGAGTTAAAGTGACATTAAACCCTCAGATTTTTTAACATGAAATAGTGTAATGTGCGCCTTACTGTAATCCATGGTAGTTTCCCTTCTCTTTGCTGCTCTTCCTTTTAAATCCTCATGCCAACAGGAATTTTTAAAGGAGCATTGGCTACCTGGCTCCTGGGATTGGTCCAGCCCTGCCATAACTGAGGCACAACTTTAAATAAAACTTGAATCACGTCTAAGGGTTTGGTGACCAAGCAGGGTCAGTATTGGAAATCAGGAACAAGCATTAAAGTATAATGTACACCCCAATGATGCACTTTTATTTGCTCGCTTTCCATTTGTTACATAGAACACCACAAACATTTTGGTGTATCTGTTCAACAAGTGCAAAAAGAACCTGTTGATCCTGACAGAAATTCAGTAGGATAATAACTTCCTGTGCCGCACTGAAATCTCAAGCAGTGTCATCAGACTTGCCCAGTTCTACAGAACACCTCGTCATACATTATGAACCGGGGTGGACAAATCAATATGAAATTCAGGAGCCAACAGGATTTTTGTCTTTAGGAGCCAGCTCCATTGACAACTAGAGAAAACCTCAAGCCTGGCACCTGGGATTTATCCAGCTCTGGTTATGAAGACGAGAAGCGGAGGCGTTATGTAGTCCTAACACCTGCCACTCTAGGACAGGAAGTGTGTAGCTTCCAAAACACCTCCTGTCCTGGGACGACAACGCTGCTCCTCTATAGATACAGTACAGTGAGTGAGCGTTGCCACCCTAGGACAGGAAGTGTGTAGCTTTCCAAATTTGAGCTGTGTGTGGCCCTGCTGGTACCAGCCTGCTCAAAGAAACCAGGAAGAAAGTTGTGCCAATTAGCTGCAGTCACTGATGGCCATTCCAGCCATCAGAATACAGTAGCCGGCAGGATAGATTCCTCCATCCACGTTGCTTACCATGGATCAAGCAATCTATTAAGCGGAGTTCACACCTAGGCGGCACTGTTTTTGCGCGTTAACAGCATGAACTTATTTGCGCGTTGTGCACGTTTTAACGCGCATACATGACGACATCATAAACCACTGTGGGCAATGGAAGAACGCGCGTATAAGCGTGCAAAAACGCTCACGAAAATGTACAACATGCTTCCGTTGCTCGTTTTTGGGCATTTCCAATGACGTTTATGGGGCAAAAAAACTTTTATCAGACCAAAGAAGCTCCTGTATCTTTTCGGGCGTTTTCCTGCTCAGGTGTGAACCAGGGCCATTGAAAATCATGGGATTTATTGTGTTGGGGCAGTTAAAAGCTCTTTTTGAACTGCTCAAAAACTCCCAGGTGTGAACCAAGCCTTAAGATTGCGTTTGTTCAGCCTGCTGCAGATATCTATAAATGCATTGGGAGCTTTATTAAAATAAAGGGAACAAAAAATGGAGAAAACTAATGCAGCCGCCACAACCAAGGATTGAGATGCTACACTATAGTTCCAGTGGAAATCATCTGCTGCTACTTTATGAAAAGAGAAACTAGTCACAGAATGCCATGACAAGGATTTCTATGAAGCACAACGTGACTTTAAGAAGCGATATAGAGGAACTAAAAGACAAACGTCTGCATGGGCTAAAAACTGATCCCAACATCGAAACATGCAGCTTCAGAAATCATATGCTCGGCTCTGACACATTCCATCTCCAATAAACAACACGTATCCGATCAGGAAGTCATCAGCTCAAGGCAACACCACTTAACCCTTCATGGCAATTACATTTAAATGTATGGGTACCACAAGAGGGCAATTGATGAACCCCAAAACAGACACCACCCCCGCCCCTCCCATTTTATCTGTTTAACCCAAACTGTGCAAGACAATTTCTAATTGGTTGATTTGGGTTTCCGCACATCGCCCTATTACAAGTCACCGGGCCACATCAGCCAGTGACAGATGATTTTCAATACCAATATCTGGCGCAGATTTGTCTGAAAAGTCGCGTTTGGGATTTTTTTCCCCCTACAAATTGCCGCAGCAGTCGCATGTTCCATCCAAACCGAATATTTGCTGCGGAAGTCTGCTTTTTTTGGGGATGCACCAAATGGTCCAGGTTTGTAATAAAAGACATGACCGGTGCGGCAATTGTAGAAAAAAAAAAGAAATCCGGCGCGACTTTTCACAATCTGTACCAAATAATGGTTGGGAAAGTTATATGTCGATAATTGGCGCAGTAGAGACTCAATGGCAAAGTGTGATGATGGCGGACGATAATTGCACAGCACATTCAGCTATGCGCCAAATACACTATATGGACTGCGGCGTAACTGAGGTGCGATGCGCCAAGAGGCCACAGTCGACAATTTGCATTTCTCAGCAAACACCAATCGTACTTTATCGGGCCCATTGTGTCAATACGTTAACGGAATGCGAATCATGCGTTAGCGATATATTTTATTACTGTACAATTAATCAGGACGCGTCATATTTTACCACAACGCCGTCCTGAAATTTGGGTAAGGAAATGCAATATTATTCTTCAATCTGGACACACATGAGGCTTGTCACAAGAGCTTGCAATCCATTTTAGGTTAGCTGACCCATCAACGTAGCAGTCATTTTAAACTGTGGGTAGGCAACCTCAGCCCTCCAGCTGTGGTGAAACTACAAATCCCATAATGCATCTGTCCGAGAGTCATGCCTTTGGCTGTCAGTCTTGCAAGGCCTCACGGGACTTGTAGTTCCACAACAGCTGGAAGGCTGAGGTTGCCTGCCCTCTAAAACTACTTATGTGGGTGCTGAAGATAAACATTTAAATGAATTTGAATTGTTCAGGATGTGAAAAATGGATTTGGGGGCGACTCACCTTCTGACAGGTAATCCCGGGTCTTCTCAAAACTTTCTCTGGGAGTGGGGCGTCTCTCCACCTGGAAATTAAAAGTTTGATGAGAACAGTCAGACAATTGGGGGGGGGGGGGGGGGGGGCTGGGGGGGGGGGG